AGCGGTCTTACCCTGAGTGATCCTCTGTCACAGAACTCGAAGACCCCGAAGACGCCATGCTCGAACTTCACCGTCCCGTAGAACTTGGTCAGGTTGTAGTAGTCAATCCGCAAGAGCTGCAGACGCAGGAAACATACGGGCCTGAGAACAGCCCCCGGAAACCGAGCAACAGCTGCTCCAGTCTTTTCACTAACTGCATTACCTCGTCGCCTAAAAGCACAAACTACCGGACCACGTGGCATCACTACCAGCTGCAACACACACAGGCCGCCAGCAAGTGGCGATCAAACAGCACTGCACAACATGGGCACAGGTACCGGCACCGGGCTTTACCATGTTCAGCTCGATCCTCTGCTGCTCCGTGAAACAGCCATCCGAGTGCTTCAGCTCCTTCAGAATCACCACCTGCAACGGCAACGGCGCACCGACGCATCAGCCCAGAGGGACAGGCGCGCGACCGAGGCCGCCTGCCCGCCGCGCGAGTCCCCCCTATGGCTGGGCCCCACGCCTCTCGGATGCACGGCGTTCCCGGCACCCAAGAGTCCGGGGCCCGGAAGCGAATGAAACCAGGAAACAAGGGAGAGTTCTCCTTGGGCCACCTGCTGCGGATGCAGGCTTCTAGTGAGCCACAGGGAGCTCAGCTGGAGTGGCCTCCACAAGGCGACGAGGACAGACTGGGAGACCACAGCCTAGAGTACTGGGCCAGTCCATCAATCAATGGCTCACCCAGAGCAGAGACCAGTATGTCAGGGTTATCTGGGCACTGGATTACGAAGGGTACTGTTCCCGCCGATGGGGTGGCCAAATGGGATTTGCCCTGCAGGGGCTGATGAGTCAAGCTGCTAGCCTTGCTTGTGGCCAGTGTGGAGCCCTGCGGTCCAGGAGCTGCAGGTTCAAAGCCCCGGCTGTGCCACTAGTCAGCGGCAACTGGGATTCTCTAAGCCGTGGAGCCCCAGTGCAGACTGGCCTGGCCTTGGCCAAGGTGTTGACAACCCGGCGCCCCCTTGTGGCCTCTCTGGCTCCTGCGGGCCCGCCGTGACGCGGGGGTGAGAGCCCCGCCTCCGGGGAGGCGCTGTGAGGCGCCGGGGTCTTGGAGGAAGGCGCGCGCGCGCAGAGCGGCGATGTGACACAGCCGCTGAGCGATTCCGGCCTCGAGAAGGGAACAGCAGGAAGGGGGAGGAGTCGGAGCGCTGACGGGCCGGGCCGGGCCGGGCCGAAGGGGGTGGGGGGGGGCGCAGGGGAACCACGTCTTGCCTTCTTGTCGTAGCGTCCCCGGCGGAGCCACTCGGTGCTGTCCTTCCTCTTGTCTTCATCGATCTGCGGAGGGGGAGAGGAAGCCGTCAGAGAGGGACGGCGAGCAGCCGCAAGCTGCACTGGCAGCAGGGGGCGCCACCTCTGGTGGGGGACCAGAGAGGGGACGTCGGGACTCTGCAGCCCTGCCCCTGCGTCAGTCAAACGGATAATTTGCTAAATCAGGTAATTTAGAGACCGAATGGGTCCACGAAAATCCTTCAGTTCCCTTACTGGACAAATCGTTTGCTTAATTGATCCCAGTCATTAGAACAGCTGATCTGGGGGTCACCTAGAAGGTGAACAGACCTGGGGCTCCCCAGGACCAGAGAGGGAACAGTGGAAGACATCAGGAAAAATTCTCTACATATAAAATTTGGGAAACAATTAGCTTAAATTGTTTAATTGACTATCCCTTCTGGAACAAAACCCAGGAGACACAAGGCTGCCAGGAACTGGGTTTGAGACCTTTGAAGTAGATGAAACCTGGCCGATCATGTCGTCTGCACTCCTGACGCCACTGTGATATCTATCGCTCACCTTCAGGGAGATGAGGCTGTGTTCCCGGGAGTCCAGCGGGCTGATCTGGTCCGCCGGGATGTGGGACCACTTCTTATTCTGGAGGTACCTCTCCTTCCGATACTGCCTGCAGGCCAGTCATAATGTGAGACTCCCCCCCCACCACCACACATGGCATTGGTATGTCCCATACCCCCCACAGTTTGGTATGTCCCATACCCCCCCCACCACCCACAGTTTGGTATTCTCCAAAACACCAATCACATTCTTTGACACAGTGGACAGTCTCAGCCTTAAAAGCTTGTGTTGAAAGAAATGGACCACATTCAAATTGATTATAGATGCCCAGGTGTGCTCACCTAACCACAATGATTGCGATCACAGCCACAAGGACTACAATGACAGCCAGGGCGATGACAGTTGCGTTTTCAGTGAAGTTTCCTAAAGCAGGGGACACAATGTCACAGTGGCGTCAGGAGTGCAATGTGCTGTCAGACAGCACTACACACACACAGAACACAGTCTACAGTCAGACAGCACTACACACACACAGAGCACAGTCTACAG